TCTGGAGTCTACTCCTCTTCTTCGGGAGCTGCGGTTTGAGGAGTCTCCAGCTGATCCCGTTCCTCTTCTTCATTGAATTCCAGCAACGTTATCTCCTCGGTCGATCCTATATGCATGATTATGGAATAAGATATCATGAATGCATATATGACGACACGTATAATATGATAAAACATGATGAATGCATCCTCGTAAGTATTTTCAACAGCATGGTATTAAGGTAATAACAAGTGCATCCTATTCTACTGAGTAGGTGCATATCTCTTCTTTATTACTTAAGCAAACACTTCTGCAATTCATTTACCGAACTACCAAACAACAACTTATGATTTTTCAAAGTCAGTACAAAAATCTATGAAAGAAATAACAGAAACCCTAAACTACTTTCACTGACATCAGGGACCCACAGGTCAACGTACCCCGCGTGTCAGCGACCCGAATATAGAGCACGGTGGCCGGCCGGCGTTATCTCGCCGACGGCGAGCACTCCGGCGAAACCTACCACACCTACGTGCTTGGCTCACCAGGCCGCATCGATTGGTACCCATGGTAACTGCTCGGACGCATCGGAACTACCTTGTCGCCGGCCATGGCGGCACGGCGGCGCTGCGCGGAGGTGCGCCGGCCACTACAGGGCACGGCAGTGCTCGACGAGAAGCGCACGAGCTCCGCGGTGTCCGAATGAGTCTACCAAGGCTACTGTGACTAGGTGAGATGCTCTGACGAGCTCTGCCCACGTGCGCGGTGGCACGGCGGTGAGAGCCCAGCGGCGCTACGTGTCGTGTTCCGCACCAGTGGGGCAACAAATCTCAGTAACATCATGCTACCGGCTAGACTACATCCTGACCAAGCCCTAACATGACAACAACGAAGGAATGCGCATGCAAGCTCAGCAGCGGCGAGCTCACCGTGGAGGCAGCCATGGGAGCTGAGATCTTCGGCGAGGACAGGAATGGCGATTTCGTCCTCACCGTAGCTCGTCCAGCGCTGCAACCACGTCGAGGAGGTAGAGGGGAATACGGCGAAGCTAACTATGAGATGAAGGCGGCAATGGTGCGGTGGAGCGGGCGCTAGGCGAACGGCAGAGCTGCTCGGTTGCTCGGCGGCAAACGTGAGAGAGAGAGTGATGGAGAGGGAGTGAGTGAGCGCGAGTGAGTGGGATGGACAGCGCGGGCTCTCAGGTATCGAGTGCCAGCACGTTGCATCGAGGGCCCAACGCCGGCCAGCGGCGGCCACGTGGCGGCCACGCGGCGTCATGTTTTTGCCCACGGTCGGCCATGACGGCACACGACGTGGCGTTCAGCAGAGCCTGAATCAGCTACTGACAGTGCAATTTGGAGGCGCTAAATCTCTCGATCCACGGCGAATCAGTGCACAGTGTAAAAACCAAAATTGTAGAGCTACATTCCAGCTACAATTTTGCTTAAGACATCATAGTCTAATTCTTAATGGTTAGGAAGAAAAATCATCACAAAGTCGGCTGCGTCGACACTGTCAGTTCACAGGACTTAGCCAATTTTCCTAAGTGCTAAAAATAGTGAAATCTTGATTCTTGTGAGCCAATTTCAAGCATGTTAGGAGCTGAACTAGCCTATGACCCAAAAATAAAAGTTGTTCCTCTCATCAAATACTACAACTTTGATTTAGTGAACACATCCATGCAAAGTCTCTATGACATAGTTCAAACTTGGTCAAACATACTACTTTCAAATGATGGCTTACACTAGAACTATGACTTAGTGACCAAACTAGCCCTAGTCATGAATACCAAAGTTGTTCATAATGACATTCTAAACATGGTTAAGTTATTCCTAAGGTCACACAAGCATTTCATACATTGGTTACATATTTTACTTCCTAGGTCAACATGCATATCATCACTTAGGAGCTTAATTAGACAAACTGGTCTACATGAACAATGTTCCATTAGTCATCTTAAGTGTAGCTAAGGTGTTTTAGTGACTAACATCAACCACTTACACTTATGCACACATGATCACATGCATACATATAGTGAAACATAAAATAACAAAGCATGTTTCATATGTTTCAGTTGTATGTTTCATATGTAAAAGCTCATATATGAATGCTTGATGATTATGCTCATGCAATGCAAGTCAAATTATGCAAGCCTAACACCTAGGGTGTTACAGGCTCCGCCTCGCCAGACATCTGAGGGCAAACTCCGTCTCGCCCGACCCTCGAGGGCTGGCTCTGCCTCGCCCGACGTTCGAGGGCTGGCTCCGCCTCGCCCGATGTCTGAGGACAGACTCCACCTGGCTCGACCCCTGAGGGTTGGGGCTGACTCTGCCTCGCCCGACGTCTGCGCGCTGCTCCTTCATAACTACGCGCGCAGATAAGACAGGGCACTCAAGTCAACTGGAATACCGAGGACCATACCCTGCACGCTTGTAGGAAAGTACCATTAGGATATGACTAGAAGGACGCTTTGAGACCTTCCAGGCATGTCAGAGTCTAAACAGTGTTGTAGGTGCCGATACTTGTCTTACAGTGTTGTGGGCGCCGCCATTTGCCCTCGGGCACGGATCCTGACAGAAGCACATGACAACCACTATGGTCCAGGAGGAAACTCGCATCACCTACGGTAACGGATGTGCGATCACTGCGCCGTCTGCTCCCTGTAGGGCCACAGATAGCACCCCGGTCCGCCGCGCCGCCCGCCGGAGCAGGATGGGATGTGACAACTTGCTGACAATGCCAGGACATGGTATCATCAATGGACAGACAGCCAACACGGCCCTATCAGGATCAGCGAACATGCACCCAACGTAGAGCTATTCCTGGCACCGCCTGCCATGTCAGCGGGGCCCGCATAGAGGAAAAGGAAGACTCAGCATCTTTGAAGGACCTCCTTTGCCTCTACTTTTTCTCTTTTCTCCCATCTGTAATTCCTGCTCTCCCTTGGCCTATAAAGGGGAAGGCAGGGAACCCCACTAAGGGGATCGATTCAAGACATCACGCATCACATCACACATAGCTGAGCAGCAACCAAGCTCTCAACGCCCATTCGACCCTTCCAACAGAGACTTGGGATCTGTTCCTCTCTCGCCCGTTTGTAACCCCTACTACGAACTTTTCAGTGATAATAACACGAGCAGCAGCCATGAACTGGACGTAGGGATATTCTGCCCGAACCAGTATAAACCTTGTGTCTTTTTAGCACACTATCCGGGCTGGACGTGCAATAACACAAATTTACTTGTTGATGTTTACTCGAAACACCGACAGGGGTACACGGTGGATGATGTGTCTATGTGGGCACAAAGGCCGCAAGGGTCTGCGTAGCCGGCCCAAGGATGCCAGGGCCACACTAGGTACTGCAGCTGCTGGCAAGGCAAAGGATCAGAGGTAGAGGGACTGGTTGACATGGTGGGCAAAATAGGAGAAAGGAGCAGCAGACTAGGGAGAGAAACCTGAGCGGACAGAAAGCAGAGTAGAGACGCGTGGAATGCAGAGGATGGTGGGAGGAGGTGACGCAGTGAGTGCGCGCGAAGCAAAGGGAAGGGGGAGGAGAGGCCGCAGGCGAAGGGACAGCCGCGCGGGAGTCGAGAGGGGCGGATGACGCTCAGCATGGGATGGGCGCGCATAATGCGGGCTATGCTACGCGAGCGGTGGGGAGAGGGCGTGCGTCAGGCGGGCCACCCGAGCAGAGGGGAGAGGAGGGCGCGCGTCATGCGAAGGAGGCGCGCGTGAAGGAGCAGCGCGCGACTCGCAGGGAAGGGGAGGCGCGTGAGGCGCTTGGGTCTGCGGAAGGAGTCACGCACGAGAAGCGGGCCGCGAGCAGATGAGGAGGCGGTCCTCTGAGCGGACGCGTGGGGTGCGGCGCATGCAGGAGACCAGGGAGGGGCGGAAGAAGTCAGGTGCAGGCGCGGTGCTGGTCACGTGAAGCGGCCGCGTGTAGTTGCGGGCGAGCCAAGGGGGGGCCGCTCGCGCGCAGGTGGGGGTTGCAGCAGAGAACTGCGCAGGATGCCACGCTGGCGAAGGTGCGCGTGGCCGCTCGCGGGAGCAGAGGAGGCCGAAGAGAGGATGAGAGAGCGTCTGCGTGACACAGAGGAAGACAGGGGTTGCATGGCTGAGGATTGGCGGCGTAGGCGCACGACGACGCGGTGGATGGATGCACGGCCAAGTATCGATGCGTAGAGGAAAGTTAGAGCGGAGGAAGAGGAGCTAGGAAAAGAACTAGGCGGCTCATACCACGTAGAAAGGAATAAGGAGAACATGTCACACCCATTAGGGAGAGGTGACTTTCATATATATATATATATATATATATATATATATATATATATATCCACCAGGCCGTCACTATGTTTACAATTAAACCCCTAAATATATACATATCTAACACATAGCCCTATCAACAACTAACACCATTGATAATACTTGCCATATTTGACCTAAATATATGATCTTTGGTGTGAATCATTAATCACTAATTTCTTCTAATACATTCTTAATTAAAATCCTTCAAATTTTTAAGATGTTACAAGTATAGAATTTGTAAACAAAATGTCATTATAGTTTTTAAGGCATGACAAAACTTGCCCTATCAACATGTTTTCCTGACTAGAAGTAGCACAAATATTTTAAATAATCAGCAACCAAGGACAACTTTGATCTTATCCACGAGTAAAAGAAAGGAAAGGCTAGTTGGTTTCAGATCAAAAGCTGTGACCTGATGTGAATAGAGCATGCAGCGCAGTATAATGATTCCCGTCCATCTCAAATCTACACGGCACCAAGCACTGACTCACTCCGTCGAGTACTTATCTCTTAACTAATGACTTGAAATCTAATAATACACAAACTAACGACTTGTCACCTAAACAACCCATCTAATAAAAACTGGATGTACTGATCATCCACAAGATCTCTTCTTGTTTAGGTGTGCTAGTGCTCCATTTTTTCCTTGCTAATCACTTACTTTGCTTCCATTCATCATCATGTGTGGTTGTTCTTTTATTCATCCCCTAAGCCAGCTATTCTCTGCTTGAGAGCTTCTGTTGAATCCTTTCGAGCTCTTCCAAGAATATTTGACTTCGATTTGGATCCCTGCTTACAGAAGCACAAGTATCTGCTGTATTGTTCATAAGCATAGCATACCTCAGCACAGTTTGTGAAGCATCTGATCCTGTCTTTTCTGTGCAAAGTTTTTGTAACTCCTGCTCAAACTGTGTGAAAAGCCTTAGAACATGGCAACAAAGTATTCCATCTCGCTCAAACTTCGAACATATGCAATTAAATATCTTTTTTTCCATGTCAACTTCAACAGAGAAGGAATCATTCAGAAATTCAGCATCTTCATATTCCAGCACTCTCTTCACTGTGTAAATTCTGTCCTTTTCCTCTTCAAAAACATTGAAAGCAGATGCATCAAATAGCTCTTTCTGAAATTTTAAGAACAGTCCCACTGTGTAAATTTCTGCAGCATGCCTTTCTATTGGTTGCCTTGTGCAGTATATTGGCTTTTGCATACTTGACTCAAATCTATCAATGCTAACAACCTGCTCTTGCAAAATGTTACACTGACCGATGAAGGTTTCAATGTTATCCTCCTGTAGAACATAGTCCTTGAAGATTGAGTTTGTGCTCTCACAACCTCCGAAGGAACGTATAAATGGGCAAAACACATCTTTGAAGTAAACTGGCACCCACATAGATCTTGTCCAATACAGCATTTATTTCTGCATTATATTTCTTAAGCATTGCTTTCCAACCATTCTCAAAATCTTCAGTAGTTAAAGAATTCAAAACAAGACATGACATCTCAGCATCCATTCCAGGTCTGTTTGCCATAAAACCTCCAAATTCAACTCCAGCTTCCCTCATTACATGCCACACGCTAAACCGATGAAAAACTGTAGGGAATACCTCTGCAATTGATTTCTGCATAGCTGAATCCTGACGAGTCATTATAATACTTGGTTTCTTGTCATCCATCACATCCAAGAATGTCCTGAATAACCAAGAGAATGTCTGCCTCGTCATTTTCAAGCAGAGCCCAACCAAAGACAGTTGGCTTACCATGCCCATTAATTCCAATTAATGATGCAAACGGCATGTTGTATGCATTGGTTCTATAAGTTGTATTAATATGAATGAAAACTCCAAATAAAGCATAATCCAGTCTAGCTCGCACATCTGTCCAAAACATACTTCTTATAGTACTATCTTCATCAGTCTTCATAGCATAGTACAACCCCGGTTGCTCCTTTTGCAATTTTCTCACATGTTCTAGTGTGCTTCCAATATCTGTATTCCTAGTCTTCATCACTCTGCCAGACTGTTTCAAGTTGTTGACATCCACTTTGCTCACAGGTATATTCTTAAATCTCCCCTGTAATTTCTTGAAAATTTCCATTATCTTTGTTGGTTTAATTTTGCTTTCTTGCAATACTCTTGAGAAGTGTCTCTCTTCCTCTGACATGTGCTTGTGGCTCATGAAAAATCTGGTCAACAAGGGTGAACTCCAAAGTGGGTGATTATGTTCATTCATAACTCCTATAATCTCCCACCTCTCTGCAACAAGTTTCACAGTCACCTTCATGGGGCATTGAGTATGCACAATAGCATCTCTTCTCCTCTTCTTCGGTCTTGTATCAGCTTGTTTTGTTTTCCTACTTTTATTGCACACAAATCTTATCTTCTTGTGCTTGTAATTTGTTCCTTTAATCACTGTGTATCCAGTAACTTGCCCATGGACATTGATAAATCGATGAGCGTCTTGTAGTGTGGAAAATATCATGCCAACCTCTGGAGCTCTAGACTTTTCCAATTCTTCTGGACTTGGGAACATATAGTCTTCATCACCATCAACTTCTGCTTCAGCTTTATCTTTTTGGAAATCATTGGGGTCTTCATCTCCTTCATTTAGGACAGTAGTCCCATTCTCCTGGTCCAGTTCCTGTAGTTTAAAAAATGTTTATAGCTTCCTAAGAAAAGGAATCTTCAACAATTTTAACTGTGAGATGCGATGAAATTTTGGCATAGAGACGCAAGTACCTCAACAAATGTGCTCCCAGCTTCTGGGGCCTGTATTTCAGTATCTGTTTCAGTACATTCCAGCAGGAAAGTAGGTGACTGCGGAAATGAAATGTCACTGCAGCTTAATCTCCATTGTTTATTCCATACAGTTTCTTTGGTCCTGTAAACTATGTGCCAATGAGTTTTTAGATCATTACCTGCAAGCTTCCTTCAGTTGTATAGTTTCCAAGTTCTCCAGCCTCATGTTCAGGAGTATGGATGATTCCATATCTTTCTTCCAAATCTGAGTCCCCTCTGCTTGTATTCTGTAAATATCAAAGTATCAAGGTTTTGGTGATTTGAAACTTAATTCTCCAACTTTTTTGTCAAATGGCATCAAGGTTATTAAGGCGGTAGGGCGAGGCATGGCGACCCACCCCCTTCCATAGGCCTAGGCGAATTAGGCGCGCGGTGAGGCGACACCATACACATACACTCACGTACATTAGAGCAGGATGAACATATATTGATACATACCTTTTTGCTGCCAATTTTAGAGACTATGCACAAGCAGCCACCACCCACGGCAGTTTATACCCTATCCAACTATCCAAGCACAAGCAGCATACCACATCAAAGGAGTATATCCAAGTCCAAGATCCAAGCAAGCATAAGCAATATAGTTCAGACTTCTGAACAGAGGAAGGAAAGGAGAGGAAGAACACAGGAAGGAACTGCAATGAAGAGCAAAGCAGAGGAGGAGCAGAGGAGGGGAGGCTGGAGGGGGAAGAAGAGGTACTTGTGAGCCCATGTGAAGGGTCCTGGACTGCTGGAAGGGAATCAAGCAGAGGAAGGAGACAAAGTCGCAGCAGGACAACGGAGGCTGACGGAGTGGAGGTCAGAGACGCAAATCAGTGGGGGCCGTGAAGTCGCAGCAGGAGCAGCGAATCGGCAGAGCGGAAGGGGCGGGAGCGGCTCAGGTGCTCCAGCCGCCATTTTCTCTTCCCTCCTCTCCTCTCTTTGCCTCCCTCTCTCTATCAATTAGCGAGCTGCAGGGATGGCCCTTCTGCGCGTGTGACGCCTTTTCCTCCCGCGGCCCCTTCTCCCTCCAGTGCGCGGCTCCTTTCCCTCCTGCGGCCCCTTCTCCCGCGCGCGCGGCACCTTTTCCTCCCGCACGCGGCTCCTTTCCCTCCCGCACACGGCACCTTTTCACGCATGTAACGTCCGTCCGACACCTTGGCAGCTCAGGTGACGCCATACGCACGGAAGCCATGGCGAGCCCGACGCCTCACTTGGGAAATCGCCCAGACGCCTTAAGAACCTTGAATGGCATAGCCTTTGAATAGCTTACTATGTTGCAATGTTTATAACAAAATGTCTTGCCTTGATCAGATGGTCTCCCCTAATCAAAGTGCATTTATCAAAAATCGATTCATATAGGATAACTTTATGTTGGTCCAGCAGACTCTGAGATTCCTGCACTCCCAAAAGCAGCCCAGAATCCTACTTAAATTGGACATTACTAAGGCTTTTGATTCGGTATCTTGGTCGTTCCTCCTAGAGGTACTTGGTAAATTGGGTTTTGGCTCGAGATGGCGAGACATTTTGTGTGGCCTATTGGTATCTTCTTCAACTCAGGTACTCCTTAATGGTACCACTGGAGATTTCATCCAGCATAGAAGAGGACTTCGTCAAGGGGATCACTTCTCTTCAGATGCTCTTTATTCTGGTCATGGATGTATTAAATTGGATGGTTACAAGGGCTTCTAAGGCAGGTCTGCTGCAGCACCTATCTAGAAGACCAATTCAGCATAGAATTTCCCTCTACGCAGATGATGTGGCCCTCTTTCTCAGACCGGCTGCAGAGGACATCTCTTTGACACTAAGCATGCTCCAACTTTTTGGGGATGCTTCGGGGCTCAGGACCAATGTTCAAAAGAGTAGTGTGATGCCAATCCAGTGCTCGGATGCTAATATGGCTGTGATACAGAGTTTACTGCCCTGTGAAATCATGAATTTTCCATGCAAGTATTTGGGTTTGCCCTTGTCTCTCAGGAAACTAACAAAGGAACAATTCCAGCCAATAATTGACAGAATCACGGATCAATTACTAGGTTGGAATGCAGACTTGTTGACACGGGCTGGTCGGGTAGTGCAGGTGCAATATGTCTTAACAGCCATGCCGATCTATCTAGCCATGGCAATTGACTTACCTCCTTGGGCAATTAAGGCCATTGATAAAATCAGAAGAGGATTCGTGTGGAGAGGACGCAAGGAAGCAAAAGGTGGGCATTGCCTCATTCCTTGGCCCAAGGTTTGTCGGGCCAAGGAGCTTGGAGGTCTAGGAATCTCTGATCTGAAATCTTTAGGTATTACACTAAGAGTAAGATGGCCATGGCTCAAGAAATTTGAACCTAATAAATCCTGGGCAAGTCTGCCACTTCAAGTAAGCAAGGATGTTGAATGCCTTCTTTCCCTGGCCATTATTACTGAAATTGGGGACGGAGCCAATACCCTTTTTTGGAAGGATAAATGGTTGACTGGTAAGAGCATCCAGGATCTTGCACCCAATCTGTATGCTCTAGTACCAAAAAGAAGGGCAAGCAGATGCACTGTGATGGCTGCTCTTGATGAGGAGAAATGGCTAGAAGATATTCAGAGGGAAATATCAGTGCAAGCATTAATGGAATATCTTGAATTATGGGATATATCAGAAGATATGGTACTACAGGAGGGGATCCCTAATAGGCATATTTGGAGGCTTTCAGCCTCAGGAGAATATACAGCTAAATCCGCCTATGATGCACTTTTTGAGGGAGCCCTCAGTTTTGCCCCATATGAGCACATCTGGAAATCTTGGGCGCCCTCTAAGTGTCACTTCTTCATGTGGCTGGTTGCTCACAATCCCTGTTGGACAGCAGACAGGTTGGCTCGGCGAGGTCTTCCTCACCCCGACCGTGTTACTATGTGATCAAGAGGAAGAGAACATCCAGCACCTCCTCATTGGATGTGTGTTTTCAAGACAATTCTGGTATGACATCCTACATAGCATCGATCTTGCAGCACTTCCCCGCAGTCAGTCGATTCCTCCTTTGATGCCTGGTGGGATAAGGCGGTCTTGACAGTAAGCGGAGATGTGTGAAAGTGATTGAATTCCCTCATCATCCTAGGCGCCTGGACCATCTGGAAGCATCGAAATGACTGTCTTCAATGGAGCTACCCCTAGACTATCTACGGCTTTGAACCTTGCTCGGGAGGAAGCCCCTTTATGGTCTATAGCTAGTGCTAAGGGACTGTCCCTGCACATAGCTCGGGATGATGGTTAGAGGGTATTTGGTCAGGTCTTTCATCTCAATCATAGGTGATTAGTTTCAGTCAGTAAGTGGATGTGTGTTTGTGTGTGTGTTTGGGTCTCTGTATGAGTCCTTTCTCTACTATTAATACAATGATACGCAGTTCTCCTGCGTATTCGAGAAAAAAAACATGGAAGGGAACAACTAACAACTCAGTGAAATAAGTAAAACAATGCCTACACTTTCATAGCATAATGGTTAGCTCCCCTAGCTAGCAACCCTAAAAAATAGTGCAAGGGAATGAGCAAGTGGTAACAGTGCGGCCCTATACTAGTAATGGCGTTGTTGCCAACCCAAGCAACGGTGCGACCCTATAGGGCTGAAGGTTCGAGGCCTTTTCTTCGTCGGTAGACTCAGAGCTTTTTATTAGTCCAATACAATGGAGCAGTCTTTTCCCACCGGCTGAGGTTTTCTCAAATAAGTGGAACAATTCAGTACATTGTCCAAAAAAATGAAAAAAATATCCTTGGAACATTTCAGTGCAGGTTTGCAGGTCTGTCATAAGTACTTCATAGCTAGTTGACATCACGAGCACATTCCTTTCACTTACCTCCATCGCTACCATTGCCGTATCTACATCCTTTTCGGCTGCCATTCGTGCTTCATGGACCTGCAACGCTAAGTTGAATAAGATAGTTGCAAATTTTTTAAATTCGTACAACAAAGTACAAATAACAGGCTTTAATGTGGAGTTTATTTGACCCCGTAAACTACAATACCAAGAAACGAACATTCCAGATTTCATTATCCCAACTAAATCACCCCTCCCAAAGGCCATGTGACAGAACCGTCCAATTCATACCAGCGCAAGTATGGCTACCCTAGTTTAACACGTTGACGCGCACATACTTTCACTTATATAAACCCTGTAGTCCGCCGAGTATCACGAAAGAACTCGGTAAATCAACATCACAACCAAGATCGCACGATTAAGTAAATACACATCATATACAAGGAGTTGCAGCGAAAATAATGTTTACAATAAGTTCACAAATAATAATACAAGTTTGTGTTTTAAAACCGATTAGTGAAAACAATATAGCTTTCAAATGATTACAATAACATAAGTTTCAAATACATTGCTAGCGTACGTGACATCCTCTGACAAAAGCATATAGATAAGAACACTATATAGAGTCACTCAGCCCACCGGTGGTTAGCCACCATCTTCAGCAGGCCGAGAACTTCACCTGCAACATGATGGGATAAACTCTGAATATCGAATGTACTTAGCTAGACTTACCCGTCATAAACCAAAAATAAAATGACACCAAGGATCATGCAATGCTATATAAGTGGAGCTAGCTTGACAACATTTTGCATAAAAGCCACTAGTTGAGTTATACATTTTATAATTCGGTAACCAAATTAATTATAGCTATTCATCTCTAGATTAGCAGCCACCCTGTGGAAAACATGTGGAATATCATTTAATAATATGCAATAGTAACCATAGGAGGTGTAATATTTCTATGTTCATCATAACCATCACATTCCATAGTCCAATTACTACGATGAAGAAGCTCCGTCAAGTTTCTCACTATCCGGGAGAGACGGCGATTCGAATCGATTGCAACCAGCTGGAAGTTTATTTCTAACACAAACCCAGACATACCTGCGCCAAGGTAGTCTTAGATCACATTTGGTACAACTCAGCTCCAATTCGTGGGTTCGATCAGTGCCGCACAATCAGGGACACTACCAGATGCCAGGTCGATCAGGACTCTAACCTGCCCTTGGCCTCACACTGGCTCCCCGTATATCCTTACTACCTCCACTGTGCGCACTCTAACAGAACGAGGCCCGGCCTGAGTTGAGCTACTCGGCTTCGCAATCGGAACGAGTTATCCGGCCAGCTAAGTGAAAGGCATACGTTCAAAATGACAAGAGAGCCTCCAACGATGCGGTAATTAATCGGCATAGACGGAATCACATGAGTCAACCTACACATAGACTCCGTCCGACCTCCAGTTAATTACCCCATGGTTCTGTTCCACGATAGCAAATATAGCCAACCGTGCTCCGGTATCCACCTATATCTTGCAGGTGACAGAAAATCACCCGACTAATATCGGTCTAATCATTGCTAAGCATATATTCGATCCTGTACCTATACAGGGTTAAAGGTATATATATCTAGACGAGATAGTTATATGCATAAGTGTTTCCAAATCAATTCTTACAACCTAATGCATCAAATATAAATGACTCAAGTGATATTTTGTAAAACATAGGAGGCTTAAAATACTCCAGGTTTAGCCTGGGATCCAACACAAAGTCAATTCAGTTAGCTTGCACTGTCTTGGGGAACATCTTCCACTCTAGGCATGCACTCCAGGGATCCTTCCATCTTCGGGATAGGTCCACCAACACCGTCTTCTCGTTCGACTCCATTATCACGTGCTTCATGTCCACGCGTTGTGCATCTAGTGTACCTAGATGAGATGGAACAATGCAAATACATGAATATAAAGAATGATAACATGAGATGCATCATATAAAAGCGTTCAAGACAAGCAAAAGATTATGTAAGACATAGGCACCTAGAGTTATTTAACTAAACACTATTCAAGCACAACAGGTGGATATGGCAAGCATATCGAGCATGACATACCTGTTAACTTAAGTTCCGCTATTGCAAATATTTATCAATAAAAAACTAACAAGTTTAGCCAAACAAGAGTAGGCTAAAGCAATCATCTAGCCCATGTACAGAAATCTGGATAACAGCATAGCATACACTCGTTGTAGCCATAACTAGAGTTAAAAGCATTCAATAAAACTGATCTTAAACTTTTTGGAAAGCTAATGAAATTGTCTACAACTTTGTTATTCAAGCCAAAAGATAATTCACAGGTTAACATGATCAAATGTGCCAATATTTTAGGTCTGCACAGAAAAGGACAGAAAACTGACAGTA